CTTCATGTGAACTTATCATTTTGCAATAATTTTTTTAAATATTATTTTTGTGATTTTCTTTAATTTTTTTCTATGTTTATTCTAGTCTTATGATCTAGGTCATAGGTTTTGCATGTCCTTTTAGAATATAAGTTTTTTTTAATTTTTTTATTTGTATTTGATTTTTCAAGATATTATTCTAAGTCACCTATAATTTTTTTAGTTTTATACAAATGACCTTTATTTTTTAAATAATATTTCTGATGTATTCAACCTTGAGTAATATTTTTTAAGGTGTGAGTTTATTAATTGAGTTTCATTTATATTTATCTTTTAGGTCACACGTTTTTTATAGTATGAATTTTTTTATTAATTTAAATAAATAAGTTCAGTAAATACATTCGGGTGAATGTTTCATTTTATGTGATTAAATATCTTCATCGGCATTCATTTCTTAATTTTTTCAATCTCTTTTTTAGTTATTGTTAACAATTGTTTTCATTTATTTACATAGATAGTTGTCGATTTATTTAATTAGATGATTGTATAGGCTTTGAATCTTTTTTATGTAAAAGAACACATCAAAGTAGGTTGTATACCTGATTTTTTTTTAAAAAGAAATTCATAATTTACAGCGGAGCGCAGGTTGAATAGCTAGCATGTGTGTGTCTATATATATATATTAGATGAGTTCTTAATAATGTTGTTGATCAAAACTACCCAAAAAAATCTAATTGATAATTCATTAATTTGTTGAAGACCTAATTGAGATTGCCCAATACATTAGGGATTTTGTTGTGGTGTGCCCAAGATATTTCCTTCATAAAAAAAAAATGAAAGGAAGAAAAGGAAATTAAGCAATCTCCTTGGCCTTACCATGTCAACTAATTGTGCACCTGCGGATACGCTAAGGCCACAAACGAAATCCCTCCAATGGAATCGAACACGTTTGACACCTCACCAACAACAGCCACAAGTTTGCAAGCAATCGATACTCTTTTAGCCTAGTTAGAAAATCAGGCTCCTTCCTTCCTTTCGTTACTTGCATAGTTGTACCCTCTATTCTCCAAGCTCTTTTAACACAGGAAGAAAAAGGGGCCATCAGATGGCTACTGCTACTTCTCCAATGGCCAACCAGCTCAAGAGCAGCTTTGCCTCATCTTTAGCAAGGAGGCTTGTCATTCCCACAACCATTTATGGAGCTCCATTTAGAGTTTCACCCAGCAAGAGAAGCTTCACTGTTAATGCCATTCAATCAGAAAAGGTGAAAATTTTTGTTTTTCTTGCCTGCCTACCATTCTTGTTGACCATGTCTAGCTTATTGCTGTTGTTTAGACAAGTTCATATGAAATCATGATAAATATTTCCCTTGTTCAAATCTTGCAGCCAACATACCAGGTGATTCAACCAATCAATGGCGATCCCTTCGTTGGATGTTGTGAAATCCGACTGGTGATGTACTGATATTTGCTCATAGGAGGCTAAACACACTAACACACAATATTTAACGTGGTTTGAAAAATTGCCTACATTCATGAGAGAGATAGATATTATTAGAGATAGAAAAAAATACAACACATGAAGGAGGATCACATTCACTCAACTCCCATCTCTCATTGCTACATAGGGTAGTAGCTGCATAGGGCAGCAGGGCTGCTGGTGGCACCCTTCCTTCCTTCCTCTCTTTTTCTCTCTTTTGTTCTTGCTCTCTCTCTCACTCTCTCATTTTGTGTTGCACTCTTGGTGTTTATTTATAGGCTTTAATGACAGCTTCTCTTACTCCTTTATCAACAATGATGGCTGCCAAACTTACCAAACTTTGACATTGATAGTTGCCACCAACAACCCACCATTGAAGCCTTCTTCTTTGACAATGTCAAGAGGCTGCAAATGCTGCACCAACAGTCCTCTTTGACTCTCACAAGTTGACCTTCTTTCTTTGACAATGACAACCATCTTCTTTGACAATGGCAGCCATATAATTGGCAATATTCCAACAATCACCCCCTTTGTCATTTATGTGGGCAATTGTTCTCTTGCTTTTTCAGCACACGCTTGCATCTTGCAGCTTTTCCAAGCTTACTATTCTGAAAGTATCTTTGGCCAAGTTTAGGTACTCGCCAAACATTTCAATCATCAGAGTAACCATAACACACCTTTTCTCACACAAAAGGATCATTACAACTAGATGGTCTGCCACATCACATCTGAATAATGTTAACGCTTGTCTTTGGAACAACATTCCCCTTCGAGCGTATTAACCATGCTCAATCCAAAATCATTTATCAAGCCTCACATCAAGGCTTTTACAACACCCCCTCAAACAAAAATTTCTATTTTCAAGCGTGACAATTATTATCTGAGTATTTCAATGCCATTACTAAGCTCACCACCTTGACAATAGTTAACTTGTTTCCGGAACCTGCGCCTGTCCTCTGCTCATTCCTAGTAGTCACGTCTTAATGCTCCACAAGTTATCCACTTATTGTCCAAGGAAAATGTTATCTCGCTCATTAATCTTTAGCCTAGAGGCAATATCAATGAAAATCAATCTCGTTTTTGTCTCTATACTAATCATAGCCACTTCATTGGCTATCCATCTGTCCACTCATATCTAGCCATCACATTTGCTCTGGGGCGTTCTGAACTGGGCTCCTTCCACGACCTTCACACCTTCTCCTAAGGTGTCTCCGCTCGTCGTCATACAGCGGTCTGATCATGGGCTTATCTCATAGCCCTCACACCTTCTCTTTAAGGTGTCTCCGCTTGTCATCATGCGATGGTCTGATCTTGGGCTCATCTCATAGGCCTCATACCTTCTCTTTAAGGTGTGTTCGCCTTTCATAGGTGGTCGCATCCTCCTTCAGCTAGGAGGCTTCAAAGTGGCTCTATAAATTTTCTGCCACTGATTACATAGAAAGAGAAAGTTATGGTATACTCTTCGCAATCCTCCACCTTGATTTTCGATGTTTGGAGCTTCTGCGACTTTCATCATTGCACTTGACAGCTCCACCTACACCAACTCTCTTTACTGTCTTCGCCTTTCATCATAGACGGTCGCCTTTTATCACAGGCTTTTGCACCCTCTTAATTAGATACATCTACAACAGTTCATCTTTCCATCCTTGCATGCATTGGAAAGGTCCTCGCTTGTTGCCTTTATCAAAAGCACAAGAGACTTCCTGTTGTACAACCTTTTCACACAGTCTCTTCTCTAAGCTTCATCTGGGAACACTTATTCTTCTTGCTCCTGCTGTCTCATTACAGTACCTCGTTGGATCCTCCGAGTACTCCTGCATAATCTCCGTATGCCCTCGTGCAATTTCTGTTCTCCAAATTTCTCCCTATTCCTTACTTATATTTGACAGCAGCTCATCTTGTCACAACACCTATCCAAGTCAAAATAGGGTGCCAATATTCATTTCCTTGCTGTATTTCTCTACTATTATTAGGGTCTTCATTAATTCTCCCCTCAAGAAATTACAGTCATCGAATCTAACTTCTTTGAAGAAATCACCACTCCATCAGATCCTTGATCATACAATACCCAACTGTTCCCTTGTGCCGTCATATTGCTAGTCTTCAACCATTTCATTACAAATTGTCACATATACAAAAATAGTACCGTATGGATAATCCTTCCACTAAGCAAGTTTCCAAGAAAGATTGGAGGGGTTACAACGGTCCTGCTTAAAACCCAATCTCCTACGTCATATTTATCCATCGTATTGTCTTTTTGTATATACAACCATTTGCTAGCTTTGTCACGGTTTTCATTTGCAAGTGATCTAGAAAATTTTGGTTTCATACCTGATTTCTTAACATCTGGCGAAACTACCATTGCTTAGATTCGTCAAGATTGGTCTTCATCAAATTTCATTATCCACTTCAAATTGTCCATATGATCGGGTGTTCAGAGTGTCCCAATTTTATCTTCCCTCAAGGCAATTAAAAAAAAATTCCCACATAACAGTTCAAAACATGTAATTAGACAAACATGTGTGATTTCTTCTTTTTCATCTCTATCGACCACCATGATGACCATCAGATGCCTCTTGATTGGGCAATCTCTCTTTAATAATTCACCATCACCATTTCTGGTCTCAATCTCAATGATCGGACCATATCATTGCATCCAGAACAATCAAATTAGTTGGAAGCAAGTCTGAAATAGTCCAAATTGCACTTCGGACAGCTAAGATTTGATCAAAACAATTCTGGCCTGATAAACGACCCAGATTCAATCTCAGAACCTGTTGCACGTAGACCCCGCTACACAGAATCCTGTCCCTCAACTCGGCTCGGCTCATTCTCGGCTCACGGCTGGTGACGTGGTAGGTGGGTCCCACAGTGCTGAAGTGGCTGCTGACTGGTGCTGACATGTCATGCCACCTGTTCATGTTGATGAAACTGTGACGTCATGATGATGTCATCATTATTCGGATCCAACAAGTGGGTCGGATCGTCTGGTATTCGGGTCGGGTCAGCTCATTCGGGTGAAGAAGACACCTGTGACGCGTGTCTGCGGGAATGGCCAGCCACCTCATCGGCGCATGATGGCGCGTACAACCATGTCTGACGTTCGATTTCGACGCGGTTTTCACTAGTGGCTTTGTCTCTTCCTCCTTTACACAGTGGTATAGTCAAAACACAATTTTAACAACTTTTATTTTTGAGCAAAATCAAACACTATAAACCATAAGCTCTAATACCAATTGTTGTGAAATCCGATCGGTGATGTACTGATATTTGCTCATAGGAGACCAAACACACTGACACATAATATTTAATGTGGTTCGACAAATTACCTACATTCATGAGAGAGATAGAGAAAAATACAACACATAAAGGAGGATCACATTCACTCAACTCCCGTCTCTCATTGCTACATAAGGTAGCAGCTGCATAGTGCAGCAGGGTTGCTGGTAGTAGCCCTTCTTTCCTTCCTCTCTTCTTCTCTCTTTTGTTCTTGCTCTCTCTCTTACTCTCTCATTTTGTGCTGCACAATTAGCAATATTGGAAGCCTTAGACTCCCCATGACATCAAGCCCACTAATTGCATGGCACTTGTCAAATCTGCCCGCCTACAGGACAGCAGTCAGCCCACTTCTCCGAGGAATCGAGGTTGGACTGGCCCATGGCTTCCTCCTGGTAGGACCATTTGTCAAGGCTGGTCCACTGAGGAACACAGAGTATGCAGGTGCAGCTGGATCTTTGGCTGCAGGTGGTCTAGTTGTGATACTAAGCATTTGCTTGACCATGTATGGAGTCGCATCCTTCACTGAAGGAGAGCCATTCACTGCCCCGGGTCTAACCTTGACCGGAAGGAAGAAGGAGCCTGACCAGTTGCAAACTTCGGATGGATGGGCCAAGTTCAGTGGAGGATTCTTTTTTGGTGGAATTTCTGGTGTCATCTGGGCATATTTCCTTCTCTATGTCATTAACCTTCCTTACTACGTTAAGTAGAGAAAAATCGACCTTTTGCTCTGTTTGTTGTTACTCCTCTCTTATGCATTTGCAAAAACATATTCCATATTTGTACTTGAATCTCTGTTTTAAAACCCGGCCTGCCGGTGGGTTGATCGGGACCCCGTAGATCCTGAGCTTTGGCTGCGTTGGTTTCAATAAAAATAAAGAAAAAATTGACTTAATGTGATATGGTAAAAAATCAGGGTTAACTGAGCGACCGGGAAAAACCCCAATAAAAACCCCTGTGAGTTTTTTTTTTCTTTTTCCAAAACAATATAATATTAAAAATATATTTCCAACTCCAATTTTATGCCAGGTTTACACCAGAGGCCGTAAATTGGCAGTTCGTTAAAGGAATGGTAGGCCGGTTTTCCGAAGTGATGCTGGTGCAAGTTTCAGTTCCCTCGCCGGGACGTGGGGAGGCACTTCCGCTGGACATGCTTGCATTTCTGTGCCGGGGACGATCACATCGGGCTATGCATACTATTTGATAATTTTGTGGACATGTTTTTGCATGGGTATTTTCTTGGTGAAGACTGTGAAGCGAACCCTGTTGTCCGAGGTTACAAGTAGTTATGGCTCAAACAAGCATCGCTATATATCTCTTGCGATGCATTGCTTTGACGTAGTTCTCACTGATGTTTTGCCTCAGCCCCAAGACGGCTTCGATACTTGCTGTCATTTCCCTAAGAAAACTCGAATCACCAAACGGGTCCACCGTTGTGAATGGTGGCGGTTGACAGTAAAAAGCAAGCTCACCAATCCAGAGAAGCGGATACTGAGCGCAAACAAAACCTATGTTCATAATAACATAGTTATTAAACATAACTTGATAGTGTAAGTCGGTGATTTGCCGATCTCGAACCCGGTTTCAAATTGATTTGCATTTTAAATCGGTTTAGAAGTTAATTTCGTCGAACAATTAACTAATAATATAAAAATATGTTTAAGAATATGGTGTGGTCGGATATGATAGTTTTTTCACGTACAATTATTGGTAGTGTTTTGTCCATTCATATACTTCTAAACATATGCTACGATTATATTCTAAACAATATTTTATAAAAATTATTATTATAATATTTTTATATTATTTTAATTTGTTGATATTAAATATAATTTTTAAAAAAATAAAAAAATATTATTTAAATATATTTCTAATTTTTTTTTTATATAAAAAACCTTATTATAAGGATATTTCTTTTTAGTTTTTATTCAAAACAGATCCGTTTCAAAGTTAAGATTATATCCTAGCCTTGAATTGGATCGGCCTGGGACTGGTCTGATAACTATTGAGAAGAGAGTTTCTCTTATATCCGAAACCAGCAATACAATTTAGCAGTCCCGAGCCATTGGAGTATTGGAATTTATTACCGAAAACTACAAAAACCTTGTCTCACACTGGCATGGCTGGCTCACCCAGAAAATGAGAAGACGACACGTCTGATAAGTACCAGGTACCGATTAATCATTCGAGTTCCATGTTATCTTCTGTTGCAGGGTGCTCAGCTTTGCCGCCAAACTTAGGTACAAAGCCCAAAAACACGCCAAACAGAAGAAGACACTTCATCTCTCTTCTACAAAATTGCAAACACAATAACCAAATCCCACCAATCCATGCTAAAATCATAAGGAACCACCGTCACCAAGACCCCTTTGTTGTGTTCGAGCTGCTTCGTGTTTGCTCCAATCTAAACTCCATTGGTTACGCGTCCAAGATCTTCTCCCAGACTCAAAACCCAAACGTCTATCTTTACACTGCTCTTATTGATGGGTTGGTGTTATCTTGCTATTACACTGACGGGATTCATTTATATTATCAAATGATCAATTCATCACTTGTGCCCGATAGCTATGCGGTCACTTCGGTTTTAAAAGCTTGTGGGTGCCACTTGGCTTTGAAAGAAGGTAGAGAGGTTCATTCCCAGGTCTTGAAACTGGGTTTAAGTTCAAATAGATCGATAAGAATTAAACTAATTGAGCGTTATGGGAAAGGCGGAGCTTTTGAAGATGCAAGGCAGGTTTTCGATGAAATGCCTGAAAGAGATGTTGTTGCGTCGACTGTCATGATAAACTATTACTTTGATCATGGGTTGGTTAATGAGGCCACTAGTGTGTTTAGTTTGATCAGGATAAAGGATACGGTTTGTTGGACTGCGATGATTGACGGGCTGGTTAGGAATGGAGAGAGCAATAGAGCTCTAGAGGTTTTTAGAAATATGCAAAGGGAGGATGTAATGCCTAATGAAGTTACTATTGTTTGTGTTTTATCTGCTTGTTCGGAATTGGGTGCTTTGCAGCTTGGAAGATGGGTGCACTCTTATATGGACAAGCATGGCATTGAGCTCAACCAGTTTGTTGGGGGTGCTTTAATCAATATGTATTCCAGGTGCGGTGATATAGATGAGGCGCAAAGGGTTTTTGAACAAATGAAGGAGAAAAATAAGTTTGGTGGCTTGCAAAAATGCAGATTCTGGAACTTATATTTTGCTATCGAATGCGTACTCTTCATCAGGGAAATGGAAAGAGGCTGCAGAAGTAAGAACAAATATGAGGGAGGAGGGAATAGAAAAGGAACCAGGGTGTAGTTCCATTGAAGTGAATAATGAAATTCACGAGTTCCTTCTGGGAGACCTCAGACACCCCCAAAAGGAAAAGATCTACAAAAAGTTGGAGGAGTTGAACGAAATATTAAGATTAGAAGGATATACTCCAGCGACAGAGGTTGTGCTGCATGATATTGAGAAATCAGAAAAAGAATGGGCTTTAGCAATACATAGTGAGAGGCTTGCTATCTGTTATGGACTCATCTCAACTAAACCATTGACTACAATAAGAGTTGTGAAAAATTTGAGGGTATGTGATGACTGTCACTTAACGATCAAGCTCATTTCAAATATTACAAGGAGAAAAATAGTGGTGAGGGATCGCAATAGATTTCACCATTTTGAAAATGGGGTTTGTTCTTGTGGGGACTATTGGTGAGATGAAGATTGTAAAGGTCTATAAATGATGTTATTATGCACTGTAACTTTTTTATTCCTCTCCTCCTCCGGAAAAGGAAAAAAAAGAATTCTTGTCCTAAAATGTTAGTTTATTTGGTTAATGATTACTATAATTCCTGAGAATGAAAAAGGGTGATGCGGGTTCGAGTTTTATTCTGAACTTTCAGCCATGCCTCCTGGTTTCTTGTGTAGGATTGCTCATAACTAGGCTTTTCGGATTACCAGAGTTTTCTTCTTATTTGGATGTGCCATTTGCAAAAAGATTTGGTTTGTGTTAGTCAAGGACGTGTTCTCCGTCGTAATGTTGTTCAATGTAGGATTTGAGTTTGGAAAATGATGAGTACATGTTCCTTTGGAACAGTGAACTTTGAAAATTATAAATGCAAGCGGTGATAATGAAATGATCACAGATTCTACTGATGTGAAGCCTGATTCAGAAATGGACAGCAAAATGATACAAAAAGTTCACTAGGAAAGGAAATATGTATGGCTCAAGGTGGAGAGATGACTGATTTATATGATGGAGGAGATCTAATTGAGCATAAGCGAGGTGGAAATGTGGTTCCATATACTGGAATGGGGCTTGAATCTGAAGAAAAGTATAAGAAAATTTGAGCGCTTATCTGCAGAACTTCACCGTGCGAACCAGCAAATGGCAGAGTGGAAACAGCAGCTAGAATTGGTTTTGAAAGATGTAGAAGGGCACAACAAACCTCCTTACGCAAAGTGTCCGAAACATAATTGAGAACGTGAAAGAAGCTGAAGCCGAGCATGGTGAGCAATTACACTGTTGATCCTAGCATGCATAATTTTCAGCTGTTTCTTCAGTTCTTATCCAATTTGTCAAATACCTGATCATCTGTCACCCAGTCTTCTGAACATCCATTATCAAGAGAAGTGTATATAGTTCAAATTTATTACTACTATGTCTCTAAAGATTGATACATGCCGAAACCTGATTGGTGATGAGATCGAACCATTTTCCTTTCCTTTTAGTCAAATACGATCAGAACCTTTGGCCCAATTGGGTTGGCTCCAAGTGAGCATTAAAAAGTCAACAATGAGCCTCTTTTACGTAATTTTTTGGTTTGAAAATGCTTCTGGACTGTGATACCTGTCATTGTGGATCATCCAAGTCAACTATACAATGATCTTAGAAGACTGAGGGAATTACATAAGGGACAGGTGTACGATACCGTTTTACAAGTCAACTATACAATGATCTTACAAGACTGAGGGAATTACATAGGGGACAGGTGTACGAGACCGGTTTACAGTAATAATTTTTTATTTTTTAAAATTTATTTATGATATTAGTATGATTTAAACATATGAAAAATTAATTTAATTTTTTTTTAAATATTTTCCAATCCAAAAACAACTAAGTTAAGAATATATTTGTTTTTAGGTAGTTTTTAGGGTTGTGGTTTAAAAAATATGGATAATTGGATTTAAATATGTATTTATTAAAAATTATGGTTGAAGTTTATGTGTAATAAAAAATATGTATAAAATTTTTGGTGAAAATATGGTTACGGTTGTTTTTTAAAGTGTTTTTTATTTGGAAATGTATTAAAATAATATTATTTTTAAAAAAATTATTTTTAAAATTAGCTTTTAAAAAAATTATTTTTAATATCAGCTTATCAAAATATTCTGAAAATACTAAAAATATATTAATTTGAAACAAAGAAAAATTTTTAAATTTTTTAAAAACATTTTTAAAACATAAAAATAAATAGAATTTTATAAAATCTAATTAAAAAAATATAAAAACTGCTTAATAAAAGCTATATTTAAGCTTAATTTTTTAATGAATCTAAAAAACAGTTTGATTTATTAACAAATACTTTATTATATTTATTTTATTGCAAACACAAAAACTAGTGAAACACAAACTACAAACTTAACCTAAAAGTTGATTGTACTGATCCTACTGCTTTAAATGTAACTTCTTATACCTCAGCTAGCTTGAAGACTGTGAAAAATTATTTTTTTTTAATTTTTTTAAATATTTTTCAATCCAAAAACAACTAAGTTAAGAATATATTTGTCTTTAGGTAGTTTTTATAGTTGTGGTTTAAAAAAGTAAATTTAAAAAAAATATGGTTAGTTGGATTTAGTTGTGTATTTGTTAAAAAATATGGTTGAAGTTTATGTATAATAAAAAATATGTATAAAATATTTAGTGAAAATGTGGTTGCGGTTATTTTTTAAAGTATTTTTTATTAGGAAATGTATTAAAATAATATTATTTTTTTAAAAAAATATTTTTAATATCAGCGTATCAAAATAATCTAAAAATACTAAAAATATATTAATGTGAAGCAAAGAAAAAATTTTAAATTGTTTTTATAACGTTTTTAAAACGTAAAAATAAATAGAATTTTATGAAACCTAATTAAAAGAATATAAAAACTGATTAATAAAAGCTGTATTTAAACTTAATTTTTTAATAAATCTAAAAAACAGTTTGATTTATTATCAAATATTTTATTATATTTATTTTATTGCAAACACAAAAACTAGTGAAACACGAACTACAAACTTAACCTAAAAGTTGATTGTACTGATCCTACTGCTTTAAATGTAACTTCTTATACCTCAGCTAGCTTGCAGAATCACGTATACCAGGAATTATTTATTTCTATATTTTAAAAATATTTTAAAAAGTTTTTAAATACCCCTTCAGATTTTTATATATAAAAAAGTCAACAATGTGACTCTTTTACGTAATTTTTTGGTTTGAAAATGCTTCTGGACTGTGATACCTGTCATTGTGGATCATCCAAGTCAACTATACAATGATCTTAGAAGACTGAGGGAATTACATAAGGGACAGGTGTACGATACCGTTTTACAAGTCAACTATACAATGATCTTACAAGACTGAGGGAATTACATAGGGGACAGGTGTACGAGACCGGTTTACAGTAATAATTTTTTATTTTTTAAAATTTATTTATGATATTAGTATGATTTAAACATATGAAAAATTAATTTAATTTTTTTTTAAATATTTTCCAATCCAAAAACAACTAAGTTAAGAATATATTTGTCTTTAGGTAGTTTTTATAGTTGTGGTTTAAAAAAGTAAATTTAAAAAAAATATGGTTAGTTGGATTTAGTTGTGTATTTGTTAAAAAATATGGTTGAAGTTTATGTATAATAAAAAATATGTATAAAATATTTAGTGAAAATGTGGTTGCGGTTATTTTTTAAAGTATTTTTTATTAGGAAATGTATTAAAATAATATTATTTTTTTAAAAAAATATTTTTAATATCAGCGTATCAAAATAATCTAAAAATACTAAAAATATATTAATGTGAAGCAAAGAAAAAATTTTAAATTGTTTTTATAACGTTTTTAAAACGTAAAAATAAATAGAATTTTATGAAACCTAATTAAAAGAATATAAAAACTGATTAATAAAAGCTGTATTTAAACTTAATTTTTTAATAAATCTAAAAAACAGTTTGATTTATTATCAAATATTTTATTATATTTATTTTATTGCAAACACAAAAACTAGTGAAACACGAACTACAAACTTAACCTAAAAGTTGATTGTACTGATCCTACTGCTTTAAATGTAACTTCTTATACCTCAGCTAGCTTGCAGAATCACGTATACCAGGAATTATTTATTTCTATATTTTAAAAATATTTTAAAAAGTTTTTAAATACCCCTTCAGATTTTTATATATAAAAAAGTCAACAATGTGACTCTTTTACGTAATTTTTTGGTTTGAAAATATCGGTAGCGTGTGATGACGATCATTAGTGTGGATCATCCAAGTCAACTATCCAGTGGCCTTCAAGTAGATGGAATTACAATGGGAAAGCTGAATGAGCATTTTTAATATTAATAACAGTTTTGTTTTTATTTTTTTCACTTAAAAATATATTAAAATAATAATTTTTTTATTTTTTAAAATTTATTTTTAATACTAGTACAACAAAATAATCTAAACATACATAAAAAATTAATTCAAAAATACTTTTTATCAGCAAAAAAAAAATTATTCAGTTCATTTTGCTTGAGATGATACCAACATTACAGTGTTATTATACTTGGCTGGATCTACCGTGTCGGCCAAGAACTTGGTTTAGGTTGAGTTTCTTTCATATTAAATTAAGTGCATGTTGACTAGGTTAAATTCAAATGATTATCTACTTAGATTCCAGTGAAACCCGATCGAGGTTTGTGTTTAAAATGATGTTTTATTTTATATAAAAAAAAAGTAAAATGATATTGTTCAGTGATTTACTGGTGACTTAAATCGCAAGAATGCCCAGTGTTTCACATTTATTTTCTTTATTAGGTTCTGAAAGGAAGGAATGAGTTCGAGTTTTGGCTGCATGCGGAAACAAATCATCTTTCACCCTACCTAACCCACATGACATATGTAGCTTGCTAGATCAACAAACAGGCAATCTAGTCATTTTGAATTTACAAACGCCATCATCAATCTCCAGCGCAAGATCAAGACAGATCCCTTCGAAGCCAAACCCACTTAATTGTTTTGTCGTGTGTGCTTCCAGGCGGACTCCTCGTATCCACTTCTCGTGCACGTTTAAACCTTTGTAAGAACCTCACATAAAGAAAACTGAAAAGGAAAGAAAAAAGGCTGAAAAAAGCAAGGCATCTCCCTCTTTCTTCTCAAAGAAAACAAACTCATACGCCACAAGCAATGTTCAACACAAGAAAAGGAGAGGAAATTTCCTTCTCAACCATAAAGAGCAGTGAAGCAGAGCTCCATTAGCAACATAAAGTTACAAGCTACATCAAGGATTATTAAGCAATGGATGAGTTACTCATTTCCTTCATGATCATCTCTGTCTTTCTTGCTTTCATATATTAATCTTGAACTCATTTTTCTCTTCTCGGTTTTCTAAGCTCTTTCATGATATTAATCTATCTTTCTAACCCGTTTTTTGTCTTGTTTTGCTAGATGTAGCCCATGTCCAAAACACTCATATCACAGCGAAAACACCACTCCAGGAGTAGCCTCTTCAACAACCAGCGTGCATGTGACGGCCCTTGATGGCATAGTGAACGTCAACTCTCTTTTTACAGTCGCTGTCTTTGTTGGTCTCTCCCTTACAACCCCAAATCAACGCAGCCTCCAGAACAGCATCTCTTGCGATGCAGGCATTGACATGGCCAAGAATCTACTAGTCTTCGAGGTTGTGTCCTTCAGTTTCTTCCTCTTCTCTTCTCTGGTCGCACAAGGCCTGAAACTGGCTATCAATTTGTTGAACAGTAAAGACGTGGATGACGCTTTTAGAGCACACATTAATTTGAAGGTTTTGAGGTTCGGGATGATGGGATCGGCTATAGGGTCGGTCATGGGTTGTGTGTTTTTGGTGCTGTCAATGGTTAATGTTATTCAGATTCGGCTGGGGCTGTTGTCTTGTGGGAGTAAGAGTACTGTCCATGCTGTGACTGCTCTGGTTCTTTTAGTCTCTTCTGCTCTCTTGGTCTATATTTCTACTGCTTTTTATGCTTTTCTCCACTGATAGATTGTTTAGCTTTATGAAAGTCGTATCAAGTTGTCAACTTCTAAGACACAGAGTATATGTTTTTGGTTGATGAGAATTTCTCCATTTCTAGCCCTTGCTTTGCCATGCTTTGGATTCTTTGATGGATAGCCTCTTTAGTATGATAGGTATTTAGTATTATAGGTATAGGGTAACTTTTTAAAATGCTCTTTTTAATTTAAATAATATATATTTTTATTTTTTAAAATTTATTTTTGACATCAACTTATTAAAATAATACATATATATATAAATTAATTTAAAATAAAAAAATCATTTTTTAAAAAATATTTTTTAAATACAAAAATAAACACACTCGAATAATTTATATTATCACCTATTCAAACTTAATGGCTTACATAGATCTTGATAACTTGGGAATTTTGCATCCATTTGAGGAATGGTGTCCCTTCCACTAGCTGCTACTAGTTTTCCCATTTTAATTTCTTAGTTAACTTGTTGTGTTTTTGTTATATGTTAATATAAAATTACTTTTAGAATTCATTTAATAACCTATGCTTTTGGGTTAATAATAATTTTATAACATGTATAACAACTAAATGATTAAGAAAATTAAGTACAAAATATGAATGAGTTTATGAAAGTTTTTAGCTATTAGAAAGTAATATAAAAGTATTATATTTGAGGCTTCATTTGGATTGAGATAGTTATGGTTAACTAGATTTGATAATTTATTTAATCTTTTTGAGAATATGAAATCTAAACCCTATACCTTAAGAGGTGTGGTACTGGTTAGACTAATGATTTGCCCACTTTTGAACTGATTTTCGTCTATGTCACAGCTATACTCACTTCATCTGTTAAATCTTTCTATTGCTTTTCAAATGGATAATGTGGAAAATTCAGTGCCTGCTGAATGGCCTGCCTGTCTTGTAGTCTCTGCAGGTATGTTGATTTCGCCAGTATGAGGACAGAGAAGCAACCCTTGCTGCCGGCAAGATGAGTTAGATGACAGTTATATTTCTCAAAGATTTGTGTTGATATTGCTTCTGTTACTTATCTATAGATATTCCAAGAACCTTGTTATTGTTTGATTGAGACGATCCTGGCAGCTTCCAGGAACTAGCAAGGCCTTATATATGGGCATGCAATGTCTTCAAATCCTTTTCTTCTCTGTTTATTTCAGAAACAAAATCCAGGGAGTGATCAGGAAAGAATCGCATTGTATGAAAAACTGAGTGTGTGATTGCACCTGCTGCTAAGTCATGTGAGAAACTTCGAGCCCTGACTTGTACGTATATCTTTCTATAGACTAGTGGTGTTCCAAAGTCCCTTGCAAGGGAAGGGATGATTATTTGTCTTACCCTTCGTTTCTGCAACTTGCAGAACTCTTCCTTAACTTCGTTGTCGACGATGACTTGCGATGCGGGCTATGAATGCTTATCTAAATTCAGCAGCCTAGCTTGTTAATTTCAACCTTGGATATTGAAAGAAAAACAAAATCGTATCTTCTGTTCTTGAACATTGCCATCACCATGTTTCCTTACAGAATCGGGTCTGCAGAATTATGAGTTTGGAAAAATTTCAATCTGATCTAACAATTAGATTAAGAATTATGTCCGTTTTCTTCAGAAAGCTCCCTTGACATATCCAGATTATTTTTAGACTTAAAACTTGTCTATACACATCATCAGTACAGGCATGATGGGGTGTTGGAGTTCAATATCAACTAGGATATAGGTTCATAGGAATAAAAAGAAAGTGTCAGGTGCCGTGTTTTTTAGTGCAAAACTAATGTGAGTTTTGTTCAACAATTGGTATCAGTTCCTATAGTTGAAAAGGAGGACCAATACCAATAGGTTGGGAAGAAGAAAAGGCACACGCGAAGCAGCAGTGTCTTTGGAAAATCTCCCATATAAAACAAATGCAGCAGTAAGAAAAAGGAAAAAACGCACGCGAAGCAGCAACGTCTTTTTTTTTTATATAGCACAAGTCGCAGCAACATTCTACGTTGTGAAAGAAACGATCAGGATTTTTTTCAGCTAGCAGTGACAGCATCTCCCTTGGACAAATAAGACCTCAGCAGCTGTTTAAAGAAGAGACACCAATTAGCAGCAATTGTCCAGCAGGACGTGATTGGGGCAGTACATTATTGTTGTAGCTAGCTTGAAGCTAAAGACAACAAGACTATGATGGTTCATCTTTGCAACTGGAGTACAAGTTTCTTGATAGTTAATGTCGAATGATTGTGTGTATCCCTTTGATATTAGCCTTGTTTTGTACCGATCAATTGTTCTAGTTGCTATGTGTTTGAGGTTAAATATCCATTTGCAACCTACTGGTTTTTTTTTTTTCTGAAGGGAGTGATACAATGCTTCATGTACCGTTTCTTTATAGTGCATCCATTTTAGCCGCCATTGCTTCTGCCCATTTCAGGTTCTTTAAGGCTTCCTCAATATTTGTAGGTATTTTTATATTCTTCATCTTATTCACAAAGGCTTGATGTTATGGTGGCAATCTATATGTGGAGACATACTGTATGATGGCATATCTTGCTTTGCCATTTGGAGAGTACATGTTAGGTGGCTTCCCATGGTTCTATCTAGGAGGCAGAGAATAGGTTGGAAAAGATAATAACATGGAAGAGGAAGGGCTTATAGTGTTACTTACCTCATGAATATCTAGCCGATCTTGGACGTGGATTTACGGAGAGGAAGGGGTTGCTTCAATCTGTCTGTTTTACTGTTCTAGCGTGTTTTTATCCCTTGCACTACTAATTGTCTGTGAACTGGACTCCCCTGACTCCATTCCTTCCCCTGAACCAGATCCTTCTCTTTCCCCTAAACCAGAGTCTTCCCCTGGATCAGACTCCCGTGAACCTTATTCTCCTCGTGGACTAGTCTGTTCAGGTAGTTGGGGAAGATCAATCCATTAGTAAGTATTTTGTTGCAGCTCCATTATTAAGTATTTTGTTGCAGCTGCTCTCTAGCATGATCAAAAGATTGATTTTTTTTTTAAGTGCAAAAACATCTAAGTAATAAATAATTTGGTAAGATTAAGGTAAAACTATACGGAAGTTAATTGTACAAATTATAAACAACAATAATATAACAACAACAACAATAATACTAATAATACTAATAATAATAGTAATAGTAATAATATTAGCAATAATAGTAATAATACTAGTAGTAGTGGTAGTAGTAATAAAAATAAAAAATAAAAAGTTGATGAAAATTTTGAGATGAAAAATTAATGTGAGGATGTGAGGATCAAATAATAATAACAATAAATGTCAAGGTTAGAGGATCCACTAATGGTATTTTAAACAAGTATAGTATAAATTCTTTTTATTCAAATGAAAACCATACACAAAGAAGGTTCCAATCAGATTATAAATTGTTAACATAATTGCATTAGTTATCTTACTCGAATAATGTTAATACTTGTAAATGTTGTCAGGTATTCATGATTATAACTTATGTTAACAACAAATCAAGTTCCTTTCATAGCACAGGTGTCGATTATACTATACGGTTTGTGCTATGAAAGTACCAAGTATTTGTTGTACCAAGTGTTATATAACATAAATCTAGATTAGTCATTTAAAGCAAAGTATTAATGAGTGAACAAGATAACAAATACAAAACATGTTAGTATCCAATATTAAAGTCCATGTTAAGTTTACACTATACTTATTCTTACACCATTAGTGTAACCTTTTCACCTTGACATAATAAACTTAGCTAAACATAATGAAGAAGAGAAACATAAATAAACAAGATAAGAACATAAATAAGATAAAAGTTAACTAAGTAAAGAAAATGAATTGAAATGTATAAACAAGATATTAATGAAAACAAAACTTAAGCATTACAAAAATACAAAGAGAGAGAGCAAGAGCATGATCTTGATCTGGAAATCAAGATGCCTAAACACATGGTAAATGCTTTCTTTTATAGGCTAAAATTTAGAACTATTGATTTGATAAATAATTGATGAGTGGGTGACCACATCTTGACTTGGTGACAATCCTTATCTTCTTCGTTGTTGTTATAATTTGGACTTAAAAATAACTTTTTTAAATCTTGGGCTCCCATGAAAGTTGTAGGTCTATATCTTACATTTCCATCCATATAAAGTGAACTTAAATTTGAGATCTACAGCTCCAGATATGACCTAATTACCGAA